AGATACTGTAAACTACACAGTTCAAAACAAGAGTATAATGTCCTAATTATAACATAAAAGACAAATAACAGTAACTTAAATATGGATCGAAATATGCAAGATCAGGTGCCGGGGAAGTTGTAGGTGCCTCTTCTCCAAACCACCCCTTTGCCTCCGGACTTCTCGGGGGCCAGCAGCCTCCCGACCAGGGGCCCGGCCCGCGGGCTCAGCCGACGAACATGGGCTCCGTGTCCAACCAGCAGTTTGCAGGTGGCTGCACCAAGGCGGCGAAGGCGGCGGAGGGGGCCCCGGAGGACGCGGCCCGGGCGGTAGAGGAGCGGCAGCTGCTGCATGGTGCCGTCATCTCTAAGTGGTTCAATTTGCTCATGGGGTTCGGCTTCCAGTCCATGACCGTTCGAGCTGGGGTCGCACTCGACACCCCGGTGGACGTCTTTGTGCACCAGGGTAAGCTGCACATGGAGGGCTTTCGCAGCCTGAAGGAGGGAGCGGCAGTGGAGTTCACCTTTAAGAAGCCTGCTAAGGGCCTGGAATCGATCCGTGTCACAGGACCTGGCGGGATGTTCTGTATTGGTAGTGAGAGACGGCCAAAGGGGAAGAACACGCAGAAGCGCAGGTCAAAAGGAGGCGGGTGCTACAACTGAGGAGGTCTAGACCATCATGCCAAGGAATGCAAGCTGCCACCCCAGCCTAAGAAGTGCCGCTTCTGCCAGAGCATCAGCCCTATGGTAGCCTCATGTCCACTGAAGCCCTAACCCTAACCCTGGCTCACCGGCAAAGCCAGCCTGCTTTCGGGAGGAAGAAGAGATCCATAGCCCTGCCCTGCTCCCAGAGGCCCAGAATTGAGCCACAGTGGGTGGGATCAATGCTTTTGCTATCAGGAAGTTTTAAGGAGCAGGCGTCAATTGGCAGAGAGTGGAGAAAGTGGGATAGGGTGGGTAGGGGGCAGCTGGCACTGCCATGTATCTCAGGCCAGGGTCCACAGCATCACCCCCTCTTCCTTCTTGGTGGGGGGAAGGAGTGAAGCAAAGGAACTCCAACCATCTTTATCCAAATGCAAGTGAGGGCTTTCAGGAGAAATTCCCCTAGAGCCTGCCAGCTTCATCTGAAGCTCCGTTCCCAGAATCTCGGACTTTTGAAAGTGGCGTGGATAGGGAAGTTTTCCTTTTAAAGAAGGGTATCTAATTTCCCATGCCTTAGCGCGAAAAGATTAAGCATGATACCAGTCTGATGGACCCAACCCAAAAGCCACAACAGTCTGTGGGAGGGCATCTCTTAGGGGTGGGGCGGGGTTTTTCCATGTCTTGTCTCCTCATAACCCACTCTTGGGACAGGGTGCTGGAACTGTCCCAAGCAATGGGTTGTGGTGAGAGGCAAAAGGGGTGG